TCACGAGCATTTACTTCAGAGACTAAATATGACGAACACTAACCTCAAAGACCGAATTCTGAAAATCATCTCCCTCAGAGACTAAATCTAACAAGCAACTACTTAAACACCTTCCCTAGAGGTTCATTCTGGAAAGCCTTCTTCAGATACAGTCAAGCGTAGACTCATTCTGATACTTCTATCTACAGTTACTTTGGATGGCATCTATAAGCCCATCTCCGACGAAATTCTATCACCTCTTTCCGAATGGCATCTTTAAGCCCATTCAAGCAATATTATTAATCAACAACTTTACTTAATGCACCGGCGAATGCAAATTTATGGGCACTTAAGTGTTCAATCTTCTTCCATCTTAATATCACGAATGGCGGACATGCCAATCTAACTCTTCAGGTTTAAGAAGATTGAACAGGGGCAGATGTTGTACCCCAATTTCCCTCTCATTTTATTCAAAACATTCTCCTAGGGTTCTCAAATGCTTAAGGATGCTCAAGAGTTGATCAAACAAATTCTTCTCCTAAGCAAGGGACTTACAACTAGGGTTTCATCTTTCTCAAGGAAGTTTGGGTTTCTAAGGTATCAAATGGAATTCATGGTTTCTTATATGTCTTCAAGAATTCTCATACCAAGTTCCATTCCTTGCATAACAAGTTTGCTCAACCAATTGCTCAAATGACTGAAAATCTACTGTATTGGGTAAAAAGTCAACTGTGGTCAACTTACAGTCAAACTTCAAGATTTTTGGTCAACATCAATATTTTTAAGCCATATTCATCATTTTATCAAGGGTTGATCATGATTCCTCAAGAAAAACCCCCAAATCATTAAAAGTCAAAAGTTGCCAAATTAGGATTTCTTTAGGAGAAATCAACTGAACTTTGACCAAGTATAACTTTCACATGCTTCATCAGTTTTTCCTCAACCAAAGCTCATTTGGAAGAAAACTCAATTCTCTACAACTTAGTTTCTCTAAGCTCAAGTCCAAAAAATGCTTCATTTGAGAGATATGAGCCAATACATTATAGGTCATTTCAAAAGTCAACAAAAAAACACTTTTTGTCAAGGCAACTTACATAAAGATAAAGTCTCCAAATTCAAAAATTATCAACATAGATATTGTAGAGGACATATTGAGCTTTCCAAAAATTCCAAGATCATCCTCAAAAGATGAAAATTGAGAGGGTTATGATCAGTGCAAGTTGGGAAATTTTGAGCAAATGCATGAAATTCAAATTGAGCAAACTTGATATTTTGGGCTATCGGGCCATTGTTTTAAAGTCAAACGTGTATTACACTCCTCATACACCTCATATCTTGAACATTTCCCCTTGATATATTTTATTTTAATTATTTTGATTTTATTCATTATTAATTCAAAATAAATAAAATAAAATACAAGGCTTATTAACAAAGGTCCAAGCCCATGTTATGTTGACCTAATTCATGCTATATATTATGCACTCTTTCTACAAGCCAACCACGAAACCCATGTGAAAGAAATACCATTACCAAAATCTCAAAAAATCATTCAAGCTAAGGCAACTTGAAACCCTAACTTGCAGCCATTCTTGAGGTCTCCTAACCCTCCCATTCACTTCCAGGAATGCAATAGAGTAAGGCTGGATCGATTGCCATGATCCAAAGAGCATGAAACCCACGAGCATGCATCACTGATTTCACTTTATTGCATGCATTTTGTTTTGCTATTTCCTTTGAGTTTTTATGCATACTACCTTATTTAACGTGTTCCTGAAGTTCAATAATGCAGGAATAACCCATCATGGGAGTCCCATGATGGCTGAATAGTGCATAGCCATGCTCATGCCGATTTGAGCTATTTCTTTCATACCTCTTAAACCAGCGCAATTCAGCCTAAACTAATTGTTCCATTGAACTCGCAGGCCTCGATTTAGGGGGTAGGGGCCCCTTAGATCTCTAATACCGTTTATTTCGCAGGTTGAAAGAAAAGACTCACCGGAGAAGACGACCGGAGCTAGGGCTCTGGCATTTCTTTGGTTCAGGCGTTTTGTTTATCTTATAATCATTTTGTTTCACAGATGATAATATATGTATCACCACCCCAGTGGTTAAAATGCGCGCGCTAAGTCACTGCTATACCAAGACATGGGTTCGATCCCTGCCTTTTGGTCATTTTCATGTTTTTATTTTTATTTTTTGCAGGCCGTATGCAGCATCTCCTCGTACATCAATCGGGCACCCTCAAGTTTCACAGTCGTTCGATCCCTGCCTTATGTTCGTTTTCATGTTTCCTTAGTTTTGCAGGTCGTATGCAGCGCGTCCTCGTACATCAATCGGGCATCCTTAGTCTTGCAGCCCTCAGATCTAGATCTAACACTCCCAGATGCGCAACCCACAATACACCCCTTTCGGCCGTCACACTGGATCAGACGCTGGCACTAATTGAGCCTGGACTTTCTTTGCCATCCGCATCCCCCTGTTTGCTATTTCAGGCCCAACTCTCTTTCTTTTGTTATTTTATTTATTTATCTGTTTAATCAAAATACATCATAATTAATTTTTTCTAATTAAAATTAATTTAGACTCTTAGGTTTTTCTAATAAACTTTTTAATTAATTTAACTAATCAGTTTTTTTTAATAATTAAATTAATTGACCTTTTTTTATTATTAAAATTAATTAGGTTTTTTTAGATTTAATTAATCACAAGTCGTTGTTTTCACAAAAAACTTTAAAAAAAAAAAAACACTTCTTTTTTTCATCTTTCTTATTTCTGCGATTGCAAATAGCGTAATTTATTTTTGCCGCCTTTTTCATTATTATTGTAAATGTTTCCCGAGATGTAATAATAATTAGGATTTACTTTCCGCATTTTTATTATTATGTAACTGTCCCGAAGTGTTGTAATAGTCTAGAGTTTACTTTCTGCATTTATTTTCCCCACTTTACTGCTTTACATTATTGTTATGTTTACTGCTTAGTAATTAGGATTGCATGAAAAGACTAAAACCAAACGTTAGAAAAACCCTAATGAAGATAAATAAACTGAGTTGAATACTCTCACACGCGCGCACCTCTAGGGTAACCTAACTTGTTGCCTTCGAATAAAAAACAGTCACATCCCTCGAACATGGGGACGCTTTAGCAAATGTCCTCGGTTAAAAAGATCATAGTCCCTCGATGACCCTTTCGATGCTGCCTTCGATAAAAGATCTAGTCCCTTACGATAAACGATCTAGTCCCTTCACACCTAATGGATAGGGCTACCTACTAACTAAGGTAGGGTAGCACTATCTAAAGGAGGAGGAAATAACACGAAAGACCTTGAGTAGGTAGATGGTTCTTAATCGCTTGCTCACAAACATTTCAAAACAAAAACATTACACACAAACACTTTCAAAAATAATTTCAAACAAACACTTTGTACGCATTCTCAAGAATCATTACAAAGTTGCCTTACTATTGGCATTTCTAAATATTTTTCAAACAGATGAACACAAAGCATTTCAAACAAAGTGAGCTAGCGATTACGAGATCGTAGATAACTACGGATGAAAAGAGTGTTAACACCTCCCCTTTTCATAACCTACCCCCCGAACTCAAAAATCTCGAGGTCTTTCCTGTTCTTTTCACCCTTTCCTTATTGGATAAAAGAAAAGTCGGTGGAGACTCTTACTATCCGCAATATTTGTGATAAAATGCAAAATCAAAAGTCAGTTCTCCCACCGTATTACAGGTGCGACATGATCCTTAAACTCCATTCTAACATTTTTTGAAATATGGAACAACCACAACATATGAATTAAGGATAGGAACACAACTTCCATGGCACATACTACCTCAAAATGCTTCAAGTGTTCCACAAATTCAGACTTCCGAGAGGCTATCACTTGGCACAAATTTTAACATAAATGGACATTTAACTTTCATACTAAAAGTGAATTGAGATGAATTCTTTTTCTTGTAGTTTCCTACTCTCTCACAACCCATAATCAATATATCTTTTCTCCCCTAGTCCCATTTGCGATATTAGAACAAACAATAACAACAATAATACCATGATGTTTACCAACGGATTGCGTCCATGTTAACACATCAGACCGAGAGAGAAATATATGTCATTTACAACATATAATGAATGAATTATCTATGATAGAGATGCCCAAAGCAATTTCCACAAGTTAAAAACAAAACATGCAAGTAAAACATACAACATTAGTGGTGAAGAACTGCGTAAAATATGTATAGAAATCATCCGGATCTGGAGCGCACAAATAAAACATTATGAAGTGAACTATTGAATTTTTCACACTTGGCTAGAAATCCATTATATCGGAATTTTCTAAAAAGCCCGAAATTTTTGTTGTTTTTCAGATTTTTTCAGAAAATTCGAAAACTAATTTCAAATTTCGCAGAAAAAAATATTAGATTTTTTTAAAAAAATGCAATATAAATGCATCAAAATTTTAAAATATTCGGTAAAAACTAAATATTTTTTCAAAAAATATCCTATTTTTTTCCGATAAAAACTTATCAGTTTTTTAAAATGCAAAAATTTCTTCAAATTTCAAAATTTTCGTACCAGATATTTTGAAATTTACAGCTTCTTCAAAATAAGTTTTTTGACCACATGTACTTTTGGAATAGGTAAATAATGACAAAGATATTTTGGTCAATATTAACATAAGGGAGTGTCAGATATGAGTGGGGGAGGGGTGGCAGGACAAAAATACATCATGTATGCAATTGGGCCTCATTTCATTACCCAATCTTGTTTTTTTTAAATACTTTTTGTGCAATAAACTATTTTTCAATTAATTTCATTTCCCTCAATATAAGATATCTCTAATATTAAGTTCTGTAAGTATATAACTAATTTTTGGAATCCAAATAATAGTTTATTACACCATATTATAGACACATAAACGTTTTTTTTCCTTGACAAATTGTCTACATTGCCTAACAAATTAACACCCACATTTTAATATTAACATTTTAAATTGACTGAGAGTCTTCTGTGTCTTAACCAGAATCAGAACTTCCCTGCCAAAATTTAAAATTAAGAGACCTTCTTTCAAGCATATTCTCCACCTCTTCCATTGGAAGTCCTTTAGTTTCTGGTACAAAGACAACCACAAACACAATGGCTGCAACAGTGATGAAGATAAATATCATAAAAGTCCATGAAACTCCAATAGCTTGTGTCAATGATAGAAAGGATTGAGCAACAATAAGATTTGAGACCCAATTGGATGTAGATGCCATTCCTCCACATATTCCTCTATACCTCAAAGGGTAAATCTCAGAGTTAACAACCCATGGCACAGTTCCCATTCCAGGTGAAAAGAATATTATATAGAGTGCTAGTCCTATTATTGCAAGCCATCCAAATTTACTAGGACACCCTCTTGTGTACCATAGCCTATGCTCTTTGTGACACTCATCCTTTGTTGTGTCATTGGATATTAAACATGCTCCAGGTAGTAGCTGCACAAATATTGGTGCCAATAGTCAGGGTCGTCTTTGAGTGTGTACAAAGTGGCCTATGCTATATAGCCACACACTTTTTCATGATTAAACTATGACAAAAAAAACCTCCATACATATATTCCACAGTTAATTTACTGTTAAATAGAACCCCTTAAAAAAATTTCAAGACTCAACTGAAGCTATTTTCTGCTTCTTACAGAGGGCCTCTCAAATGTTTGGATGGCTCTGCCAATAGTGTGAGCCTTCTAGGTCCTACTAATCTAAAATAAAGGTAACAAGAGGGCTAAGTTGATAGGATAAATTTACCTTATTATCTCCATAAGCACAAAAGCCACATTCTGGAGAAGCCTTAAGGCACTTCATGCAATCCCATCCACCAGAGTCCATAGCAGTACTGTAATCAGGGCAAGTATTATTGAAATGTGAGGTTTCGCCAGCGCTGATCATTGGCGAGTGAGTCGAACTCTGATGAAACACAACAGTCAAAACAACAAGTGACAAAATAACACCAGACAAACTGAATAACACAAGTTTTTTCCTTCCTGTCTTGTCTATAAAGTATATGCTCAAAATCGATCCAAACGCGTTTAAACCAGATGTGACAAGTGACAGAAGAAGTGCAGTTCTATTGGATGCAAAACCAGCTAACTGAATGATTGCTGGACTATAGTACATGACAGTGTTGATTCCTACAAACTGTTGGAAAATTTGAAGGCCCATTCCTGCATATAAACCTCTCCTCACTGTTTTGGTTTTCAGCATTTTGATTATGCTGAGTTTATCAGAAGATTCACCTTCCTTGATTTCTAATTCAACTGATTCCTTTAGAGTATTAATTTCTGCTTCGGCTTCTTCGGGTGGATAAATTCTCCTTAAAATTGTTTTAGCTTCTTCTTCTCTTCCTTTTCGAAACAACCAACGCGGAGATTCAGGAAGCATTACCATCAGCGCGAATTGTAATAGAGCTGGTACCGCTGCTACTCCTAGCATCCACCTCCATGTTCCTGGTGCCTGAATAAATTATCACCAAACAACTACTATAAAATCACTTCTATATAATCAATCTTTAATTTGAATTCTTGTAACATCGAACTGATAAAGCAACTATGCTCACATTTGTGAAGGCCAAGTTGATGAGGTAAGAGAGAAACTGTCCACCAGTGATGAGAAATCCATTGAGACTAACTAAGGCACCTCGAACTCGAGTTGGAGAAGCTTCTGAGATGTATAATGGTGATGCCATTGAAGCCATTCCAACACCAAGACCAACAAAAACTCTACCAACAATAAGAAGAGATGGATTCATTGCAGAAGCCATGATTGCAGAACCAATAAAAAAGAGGGTATCTGCAATTAAGATAGCTTTCTTTCTTCCGAATCGATCGTTAATCCATCCACCAACTGCAGCACCTATGATTGCTCCAGCAAGTGCAGTACTCACTATTGCTTCCTGTTTTTACATTTTTTAACAAGCACTAATTTGTTATTGTTCATGACAACACTACTATTATAATTAAATAATAAAAATAAGTAAATATGCATTGTATCTATCTCTCTTGTATAATATTTTTTTATGAAGATGATTTCAATAAGGTAAAAAGAACATTTGTTTCTTTCTAGTATAGATGATAATGATGGAAATAAACATCAAGTACCTGAAGCCAAGTTTTTCTATCCACATCTTTGAAATCATCTCTGATATATAATAGTGCTCCAGATATAACTCCTAAGTAATATGAAAAAATCATTAAAACCAAGACAGATGAATAAGTAATGATATAGAAAAAAGGAAGAAAAAAACTAACCGGTGTCATAGCCAAAGAGAAGACCACCGATACCAGCAGAGAAAGCGAGACGGAGAACATAGGGGTTTTTCCATGACAGAGATAAACATTCTCTGAAGGCTGAGATATCAGCCTCAGGTACACCACCTTCCATGACAAAGTTGTGGCCAAGAAAAGTGGTGGTTTTGTTAATTGAGAAACCACCGTTTGGAGAGAGTATGTATATGTAGATAGAAATATATGAAGAAGAAAAAGAAGAGAGAACTGTGAATGTTTTTCTTCTCAAAGTCAGACTGTAATTCTCTCTAGTCAAGGAAGGACACTGGTAAAGATAATGGATACAAATAAATCCGATTATATATGACTTGTATATTTATTGGTTTTTTTATACTCAATAAAATTTGTCTTAATTTTATCTCCTTCTTATTATCATTTAAATTAGGTGGACATTTTGTTGGGCTCAAATTGAGTTGAGTATGTAGCAAACATTGTCAAGTATGTTTTTTAATATTAATTTATTTTAAATAAATTTAAAATTTTTCAATAAGGTGTCAGTTAAAATTTCTCAACTATAATTATTTTTGTATTGAATATAGAAGAAACACAATTTTACATTATCCTAGGGTATCTACTCTTATAGGAGGTTTGTATTGTTCATTTATGTGAGTTTTATTGTTATCCTGATGGCAAGGACGGGACCAAGCGTATTTCTCGTATGGTGTCTCATCATAAGGTGCTACACTTATGCAATGACGAACACAAAAACATAATTTGGGAAGCTATTGAGAGTGATTTGGATTTGTTACAGCCTTCGAGGAGATTTAAGGGAAGTCAAGCAATGGATATGTTGAAGGTGTATGAGCATTCATGCCATGACTCGGGCGTGTCATCATCCTGATGGTCTGGTTCGGGTTACTCATGTGACAAGGGAAGTCGAAAGTCATATTAAGGGCATTGTAAAACCATCTACAACAGACCCTGATAACCTTGATGCAAATGAAGGGATTGTTTTGAATCCAAGGTTGTTAGATAGAGTCTTCACAACACATGTTTTCACTGTAAAGAGGATATCTCTTAAGTATAGTCTTGCTTTCTCTCAAGCATTGAAAAATGTGCTCCTCAATATGGTTATTGAGTCAGGATATTTAGGTGATTGGGTTTGGTTGTTACTTATTTCTCATTGTATTTTACAGGTGGTCAAACCTCAGAATATAAGGATTGCAGGTCTAGGAATCAGAAGCCTTGCAACAACATCATATTGTTTTAGTGTTTAACTACTTGGAGGGATGTGGATAGTCTTGCCAAGTTAGTCGACAGTCTGTTGGACAACTCTGAGCAAGATAATTTGAACGATGAGGAAGTTCATATTAAGGAGGAAGATGCAAAGATGAGCTTTAACATCAAGTAATGCCTTCATAAGGTTACAGATGGAGACTTCATAACGGTTGTGAAAGTGTTGGGGTCATCCTTTGTAGCCCCCTATAATGCATATACCATGAAGGATTTGAAGGCTAAACACCCGTACAAACCACCTCCCTCCATGTCGACCATCTTGTTTTGTGAAGCTCCTCTAGTGGCTAAAGTTAATATCATCTTAAAGTGTATTAAGTCATTCCCCAAAGGGACTTCATATGGTAGAGATGTTTTGTGAGCATAATATTTATTGGATGCACTGTATGGAGAAGGTTTTGTTTTGTCTAGATATCTCTTAAGTGCAACCACTCTAGTTGTTAACTTATTACTAGGAAAAAATGCTCGGTGATTTTGGCAGAGTTTATTGTCTCGACACCATTAACGTTGTTATTAAATCCTGGTGGTGAGATACGACCAATTAATATGAGTTATATTTGAATGTGGTTGGTATACAAGGTTGCAATAAAGAGGTCAATAAGGATGTGGAACAATGTCTCAATGACTTCCAGTTTAGGGTCGAGGTATTGGGTGGTGTTGGGCCATTTTGTATAATGTTAACAGGGTGTTAAGAAAGTGATATAGAGATGGATATTTCACTATGCTCATGGTATAATTTACTAATGCTTTTAACCTGTTAGATCGATAAACCATACTGCAAAAGATGAGGGTGGGATGCCCATCTATTTCCCTGTGGGTTTAATTTATCTATGGTTAGGAAACAAGGTTATACCTTGGCGATTGACATATAATGTCAGCCACTGGAGTGCAACAAGGTGACCCGTTAGGGCCACTCCTTTTTGAACTTGTGTTACATCCCCTTATTGATCAGATAAACAATAACTATAAACTTCTTTTTCATGCCCAACATCTTGATGATGGGACCATCATAGGGGATTCTGAGGAGGTGACTAAATCTTTTGACATTATTCGGGAGATCGGTCCAGGATTAGGTCTCGAGCTAAACATTCATAAAACATTGATATTTTTCCTTTGTGTGATGATAGTAAACTTCACATGGAGTTGTTTCCTTCAAATATTAGAGGGTCGATATTGAGGATGAAATTTCTTGGAAAGTTATTAGTCGAGATATAGGCTTTTTGAGGGGTTGTCCATGAAGAGAATATTTAGAGCTATTGAGTTAATGCATCTTCTACCATAACTAAGGGATTCTTAGAGTGAGTTTCTTCTACTCCGTTCTTGTATGGGTATCACCAAACTCTTTTTGGCCTTAGAACATGTCAACCTAATCATATAGAGAAAGCAGCTTTTTGATTTGATAAAGTGTTACAAAGGGAGGATGAAGACATTGTGGTTGGAAGATGTCATTTCTTTAGGGACTTTCAATGAAGGGTGGCTTCTTTACCGATTAGAGTTAGGTAATTGGGTTTCTACTTTGTAGTATAGGCTACCTCATACGTGTTTATGGATTATGAGGCCCAATCTAAGGTGTTTCATATATTGAGAGAGAGTGGGATATTATGGTATAAACCTTGATTTAGATAGAGCTTTGGATGGTGTTATAGTTGTGATTCTATATTTTGACCTTAGTGGTTTTACTAGAAAGTACATCTTCCTTCCTAAAGCCCTAAATGTTTTGGAGATTTCCCTTTTTAGTGAAAGTGTTCTGGACATGGATGTAAAGTTTGACATGACCATAAGACAGAGAGCAGTTTTAGGTTGTTTGAAAGTAAAACATGCATAATACTTTCTCCTTGATATCCATATTGATGGTCTAGGCTAATATATGTCTCCAGTAGAGTATTCTACCTTCCTTAAATACCACCTTATGATTCCCATATTTCATGTTGATGAAATTTACTCTGTTTGTCGCAAGGTGTGCTTGGATACATTTGAAGAAAACATTGTGTAACCTTGTATTGAAGATAATATATTTTTAAAAGAGAAAATACCTTTTGACGATGACAACTATAAATAAAAGAACAAATATATCCATCACGATAAATATGCAACCAATGATAAGTCAAACAATGCACTTAAGCCGTTAAAGATCCAAGCCATGAGTATAAAGGTTTGATAAACATGACTATCAGATAAAGGCAAACAAACTGGATTCTATCAATGCCTCAAGAGATCTCAAGCAAGTGTCAACGTAAAAAAAACTACAACCTACAAAGGTTTAGAGAATATCTCAAATTAGTAAGTGAGTGAAACTATGTAAAAAGCAAAGGGACTTTTTCATATAATTACATGGATATAAGCACACACACACATACACACACACACACACACACACACACACACACACACACACACACACACACACACACACACAAACATTTTTCTCAAATGATTTACCAAAAGAAAAATACTTTGAAAAATATGTAGAAGTTGTATAGAACAGAAATGGTAATCGATTGTGCTAACAGATTAGATTGGCAAACTTGAGGCGCAAGACAAGTTGAATGTACCCAAATTCTATACAATAACTATATATCTTATTTATCCATATTGGGAACTTATATATGATTGATTTTCAAAAATTAATCGATTAAAAAAAGCTCCAATCGATTAAATAATATATTTTTGGCTTAAATGTTATTTCCTTTTTTGGGGAACCTCAAGCCTATAAATAGAGGCTCCATTTCTCGTTTCAAATCATCTAAAACACAATTTTGTGTATTAACACTGACTCACTTTCTCTCTCTCTCTCTCTCTCTCTCTCTCTCTCTCTCTCTCTCTCTCTCTAAAGTATTATTTTAACTTTCTCTCACTAGTTCTTATAGCCAAATGCTTTTGTGAGGAAAGTACCATTTGTGAGTGAGGTCTCCATTGTAATTCTGGAAGGGTAGAATTGTATAAATTCACCAAGGTAACTATGTTTATAAACCTTGGTTGAATAATTCCTAAATAGGGATTATGTATGTGGTTCTAAGCTAATCTCGTTAAAAGTTTATTATGGGGATCATGTGATCAGTCCTAGTTATAAGGTTGAAGAATAACCTTGTCCCAAAATCTTTATAGGTTTAAGATCAGTCTGGCTAAAATCTCAGAGGTCATTTACATATCCTATTAAACCAAAAAGGGAGCTAAGATATTTTGGAACTTGAAGACTAACCTCTACAAGGTCTGTGTTCGTGGAGAGAATACTAACCACTTCAATCTATAGTTAGGAAGGAAGCTTTGCCACTTCACTTTGAGCAAGTTATTAGAGAAAATACGCAAATTCTCATATCATTCATTTTGTAATATTTTGGTTGTAGGATAAACATTATTTCCTTGTATAAGGAGGTTCGTGAGCCTTTCTTACTAAAATCATTCAGGTATTATTGGAAACTCTCAAGACCAAGTCTTGGGTAGAGGAGTAGGTCCTTTGGTTTTTAGTGAATCTCTATAATTCTTGATGTTCTTCTTCTTTCTTTAACTTTTTAATTTATGAGCTTTAAATATTTTATTTTCGCTGCTTAAAATTGGAAAATATTTTCAAACTCTAATTTAACTTGCCAAAAGTTTTCAAAACAAAGTTTTTCCAATTCACCCCCCCCCCCCCCCCCCCCCTCATCTTGTGTGTGAAGTCTCAAGTCCAACAAGCGGTATCCGAGCCTAACTCCTATTTAAGGACTAATCGTCTCAGGTGGAAGATGACTTTAAAGACAAGATCATTTTTAAACACACCACCACCTTTTTAAAAATACAGCTTTGATATTTTGAAAATCAGATTTAAACTTTTTTTCTTCAAAGTATAAATCATGATGTATGGAAAATCATAATTAATGGTCCAGT